TGCTACAGTAAAAAGCTCTAACATAAAATCACATCTCAACTCGAATTAATGTTGAAAAGATATCTCGTTGTTCGGATAATATTACAATTGTACCCTGTGGTTTAAGAAATTTAACGCGCTGATATTTGCGTATTTGTCATGGAAACTACTACAGGTTTTTGATTTGTTTGATATTAAGCGTAACGGGGTTATCGAGTTCGGAGAGTTTGTTCGGTCATTAAGCATTTTCCACCCAAATACTCCTCAAGAAGACAAAATTTCATGTATGCCATATTGAAAGTAGCCATATATTTACTCCTTTTCTTTTTCAGTTCTCGCTTTCTGTTTCTTGTCTGTATGTGATGTGAGAAATATTATACATACCAAACGCGTCTTGCCAAATACAAAGTTGTAATTTCTAAACTGTAAGAATCTCTTATTGCAGTGGCATTTAGACTATATGATCTTCGGCAGACCGGATATATTGAGCGCGAAGAGGTTGAAAAGCTGTTACTTTCCTCTCTTTGACATTCGAAAATACAGTTTATTTACACTTGAATCATAGCTCTTCAACTTCTATGCTTTCAATGTTTTAGACAAACTTTAATATATAAAACTGTTAGAATATAAGACTATTTTTTGCTCGTCTTCTAATAGCTTAAGCTTTTGCAAGAAATGGTAAACTGACAGAAACTATACTTCTTTTACTTTTAAAAAAGCTGAAGGAGATGGTATCGGCGCTTTTGAATGAATTAAATCTGAAGCTTGATGACGATGTAATCGAGTCGATTGTGAAGAAGGTGTTCATTGTTCAACATTCAACTATCTGACGCATGTCACATTGTCATTGTGTCTAAGTATTCTCTGTGTTCTCATTTTACAGACCATGCTTGATGCAGACACAAAAAGAGATGGGAAAATTGACAAAGAAGAATGGAAAGAGTTTGTTGCAAAGAACCCATCTCTTATAAAGAATATGACTCTTCCATATCTAAAGTACGCCCAAATTCACAATTTCTATGCCATTACTTTTCTTGGATTTCCTTAAGAGTGAAGAAATATAATAATAAATTTGGGTTTCCATATGCAGGGACGTGACCGTGGCATTTCCCAGCTTTGTTTTGAATTCTGAAGTTAAGGACTAGAAGTAAAATTGTGTCACAAGTAATTAAACTCACCATCTAATATAGAAAGTATTTTCTTTGCCTCTTTTGGGTTTGAAATATAATTGCAGCTGAAGCAACAAAAAGAAGTTATTTTGTGGAAGGACCGCCAATGACTAAGATGAAAAGGTTTTCCTAGTAATCCACACACCAAGAAGTTTAAAGTGTTGTGGGTTTCAACAAGTAACTATGTTATGACTAGATTTTGAATAATTGGAGGTCAAATGTATTTACTTAAGTAGACATATATGTTCGTATATATGTACACATAAATTATAATACATGTATTTGTGCGTATTATATATTCTTGTCGAGGAAACCTCCACGATGTCTTTTATTTTATTTTATTTTATTTTTTGTTTTCCTTTAATCTTAAAACTAGTGTTATTCATTTTCCTTAATACTAATGGCATGCAAAAAGAGAACATAGTAGCCTTTTCTTTCTTTTACTTTTGTTTAAGGGAGATAATAGTGAGCAAACGCCCAATAGCAATATTTCTAATCTACTTCTCCTTCCGTGATTAGTTGGAAAAAGAGGGGGAAAAAACCATTTTAAGCTAGTCATGTAAAAAAAATAAAAAAATAAAAAAATAAAAAAATAAAAAATAAAATAATAAAATAAAATTAATTAACAATATAAATATACACACAAACATATATAATGGAATTGCAAGTTGAGTTTAGTCAGGACGATCAAACGGGGAAAATCAAATGTGCTCTCCGGTCCTTTTGCCAGATTCTTTTCCTCTTTTTCTTTGGTATCGGTTCTAATTCTATAACTACAATTACAACTTAAACAGGTATTCAAAGCAAAAATATTTTCAAATTTTTGAGTATTGGCAAGTTGCTTTATGAACTTCTAATTTGAGAAATTGCGTCTAGATTTAATAAAGTATTGTACAATACTCCGAAATTATGCCGGCTATTAAAACTTAGATGGAGGTATCCTTGTGAGATTGGAATCAATACTAAGGTAGACATGTTAAATCACGTATAAAAGGTTGTTTCCATTCAAATAATTTAAGCAATTGTCATTCATCTAGGGGCATTTTTGCGTCACTTGATTAAATTTGACGGGTATTTAATCAAGTTCAAAAGGTTGAGGGATAATTTACCAATTCAATAAAAATTCCAAAGGCAGAAACACCAAATCTCCCACCCAAAAAAAAGAAAGAAAGAAAACCACCTATGATTGGTTTAGCCAAGTTTAGCATTATACTTGTGACATTGATTACGTGGGTAAGTTATATGTATTTAGCTTTAAACTTTTAAGCACTGA